TGTCCACAGTCACTTGACCAATAGTCTAAATGTATTTTGGGGTCTAGCCACAGAACGGTAGCTAAAACTCCTCGTATCTCGCAAAAGTGCTCTTGTCATAATCTACCGCAAATCCCAATTACGTGTACCTTACTCCATGCATGTGGAGGCGCTTAGGGGGCTCCAGGAGCCTCCAGGAGTTTCCAGGGGCTTCCAGGGGCCTCCAGAGGGGTTCAGGGGGCTCCAGGGCGCTCCAGGGGCCTCCGGGGCCTTGGGGCCTCCAAAAGCCCCAAAAAACCACATAAAAACATGGTTGAACGAAAAATGCGCCCGCCGCGTACCGCCAAAGCCTCGAAGGCCACCCACCATAGGGGGGGCTGAGGTCCGCCTACAAGGGGTTTTTAAAGGGATCTGAACGCCCTGAGGCTGGATGCAGCGGCGAATATGCCCCGAAAGCCCTATTCTCACAATTTGCTCTGCGTTGCAGTCCCCATACAACAAAACTATGTTATCTTCCATGTTCTTGGGCCTGCGTGAATTTAATTTCATTAGAACCCCGCCCTGAACTTAAAACCAAGTCCCTACTTGTATCGCACTGTTCACTACCCATGAACCCCCAAGTAGAGTGATCCATTTTGAGAACCCCCACCGAAACCCTAAACCTCTGAATCGCTAATTCCTAAACCCCTGAATCCCTAATCCCTAAACCCTTCAACCCTAAACCCCAAACCCCTGAAACCGAAACCATGGATGTCAAGGCCAGATGTCTTCTTTTCCTCGAACTATGCTCTGGCGTGGGCAGGCACCTGAAGACACCCCGTTATGGGATTGGAAGGACTTTGGTTTATAGTAATATAGCCAAACAATTAATAAGATATAGTACTATAGTAATATATTACTGTATATGCATATGGTAATACAGTAGTATAGTAATATATGGTCTACATAGTGATATAGTACTCAATTTATAAAGTACTCTAGTACCATAGTAGTATACTTTGGGGCTTGGGGTGTACGGTTTGTAGGGCTCCAGGCTGAGGGCTTGATGTTTTCTAGGGCCCAGGGCTGCGGGTTCAGGGTTCTGTGAGAAGGTCTAGGGCTAGGGTTAGGGTTTGCGGCTTAGGATTAGGGCTGAGGGCTCAGGGTTTGGGGTTTAGGTTTAGGGTGTGACGAAGCTTAGCGGTTCAGATGTAGGATTTGGGAGGAGGATCTAGCCGCTGTTGTTGCTGGAGGAAGGCTTGCACCTCCCGACGTCCTAATATCCCAGGGATTGCATCACCAATAAGAGGCCACAGATCATAGTCAGATGAGAGTGAAGAAGTCCTTTTTATAGGGGTTGGGTAACTAAATCCCCTGATTAAGTACGTCAATGGCCCTATGGTGGATGCAGGCAATCTTGCACCACTTAGGATTCCTGCAGAGTATCGGGCATATGGGATGGTGCAGGATTTCCTCCATTTACAGCAGGCGGCAGGGGATTTCTCATAAGTTCAGGCAGGGGGGCTTCAGTGACAGTCCTCAACAACCTTCCGACACACAACGTTTGAGCTCCAGGGAGAGGCGTTTAGGTTTTAGGGTTTGGGGTTTAGGGTTAGGGGTTTAGGGTTAGGGGTTTAGGGTTTGGAGTTTAGGGTTTGGGGTTTAGGGGTACTCACGCACCCACCCACCTCCCAAAAGTAGGCTTGCTTGCAATAGTCGATTACTAGACACAACCTGGATGCCACAACGGTAGAAGCTATTTACAAAGGCGCCCCGCAAAGTACACTAAATGGAGCCGTAATCCCCCTTAATAACCCCTGTAGTGCTCCCCTATATACTCTCTCATGTAAACCCCTACTTAAGGAGTTCAGACTATGCTTCACATGGAGCATGCCATGAAAATTGGTTGAAGGCTCCATGGTGACCTTGGTCCTCTCCCTGTACGAGCGGAAGGCGCATACATTTGGGTTTAGGGTTTAATTTGGGAGTTTTTGCTCATGTTGGGCAGGCGCTGGAGGTGTTGAACTGAAGTGTTCTAAAATGGACCCGAAACCCGCAATCCTGAACCCTCAGACCTTTAGCCTGCAAGAGCCCTAAGCGCGTTGCGGCTCTTTACTGGAGCTCCGAGATTCAATCTGAGGAAGTTTGAGGTGGTTAGTTCACCGGGTAGGTTCCTCCATATAGGCCTTACATAGCCCTTCTAATAATCCCAGTGTGCCCATGTAAGCCTTACATAAGCCTTCTGTAAGCGTACTCAACTGATAGTTACCCACCTGAAAACCCCCCTTAAAGGAGCTAGAATCTAAACTCCTTAAAGGGGGTTATATAGGGGATTATATACTATAGGGTGTAGCCCTAAAATAGCTTATGTGAGCTAGAGTCAAAACTCCTTAAAGGGGGTTATGTAGGGGATTGTATACTATAGGGTGTAGCCCTAAAATAGCTTATGTGAGCTAGAGTCTAAACTCCTTCAAGGGGGTTATGTAGGGGATTAGATGGGGGACTACTATAGAGGACATGCTGCGGGATGCTTGGACTTTAGACCCTAAACCCTATATGGGGGTTTCCCAAAATTAGGGGTACCTTTTAGGGGTCCCCATAATAAGAATTATAGTAGTTTTGGGTCTATATTGGGCTACCCTTATTTTGGGAAACTACCATATAACCCCCTTTAA